CTGTAAAAGTAACTATTAAATTAGTTACTAGTTACTCGTACTTAAAAAATTTAAGTTAAGTTACAGTTACACATGAAAAGAAAGTAACAAAGTTAAGTTACAGTTATTGAAGAAAAGTAACTGTAACTGTAACTTCGTTACAAGTAATGAATTACTTCCCAACCGTGATCAATAATACTATCATCTATTATCTCATGTGCTACCATCTATTGCGCACAATATTGCCAAGTATTGCTAATGTATTGCAGCATATATATTAATAGCGTATTGCTAGTATTGTAATGCCGCAATATATTTATAAAAAATGTACACTGATTGCCATAGTGATTGACCTCTTGGTTTATGTATTACAGAATAATCTTTGTTAGAGAATTATTATTCGATTTCAATTATTCCATTCATACATTTATGGTATCTTAAAATATATATCACAAAAATCTTATCTTGACTCAAGTTACAAATATAAATACGTATTTTATTTTTATATATGTGGGGCCACCCACTCTGTCCACTTCAATTTTTAAGATAAAATACTTCGAAAGGTTTTAAAATTTTCATTGAAGTGTTTACTTTTTAAAGTCGTATGACCTTTTTAAAAATTCAAGACGGATCCAGAATCGCGACTAGAATGGACTGTCGTCAAAAAATTTTTCGAACAAACTTTAATTACTGAAACACAGGGGATTAGACAATTTTTCTATTTCCATAAATTAAGATTTTGGGAGTCGCTGAATCCGCTGAATGCTACGAATCCGCAGTCATAATTATAAAACAATAGCGAATTTAACATACCGGCCAAACTTAGCCAATCTTTAAATAATATAAAATTTTTTGTACAAGACTCACCAAAACGGAGTTTTTTGGGTTGCTAATCATGGAATTTTTAGTTATTAAAGCAGGATTCGGTATATCGATCTAATATGATGGGTGGAATATGGCCAATGCATCTCACACATTCAAGTTGGAAGATTTTTTTGGATATCAATGTGTAGACATTGATTTATTGGGTTTCTAATTGCAAATTATCAATCTTTACTTAAAGTTCTTCAAGGCTGTTGAGCCAATATGGTGGATAAAATATGGAAATAATGGAATTTGCATTATTTGAAGTTTGGCCGACATACTGAATTCGCTATTGTGAATTTTATAATTATGCGGATTCGTATTCAGCTACCCCCAAAACCTTAATTTATAGAAATAGAAACATTTTCTAACCCCCTGTACTTCAGTAATTAAAATTTGTTCCAAAAATTTTTTTATGACAGTTCATTCTAGTAGCAATTTTGGATCTGCTATCATGAATTTTTAAAAAAGCCATACGGCATCAAAAATAAACACTTCAATGAAAATTTTAAGACCTTTTGAAGTATTTTATCTCAAAAATTGAAGTGGTCAGAGAGTGTGGTCTTTTTGACAGAGAACGCCTCATATATATATATATATATATATATA